TAATCCACTATGGCAACCCCCGCCTTTGCGACCTTGTGGAAAAAATAAGTGATGAACAAAGTACATATTAAATGGGCAAGTGAAGGATGAGTGCACAAGCGCATGTAAGGCCTAATACAGGTAAGCACAAACGCGAGAGTTGATAGCTACTGCCAAACAGGCCCTAGAGATTGAAAAACAGGCCAAACCTATTGGAAGAAACATTACCATTTACCGAATAATTTAAATTAATTAATGAAGGTGAGCTTATCAATTCGCATTTTGTTCAGATGTGCCAGCTCGAAGGCGAAAGTTTGCAGGTAAGCCGTGGTGAGTCCTGTAGATAGAATGATCAAGATGATACGACTTTAAGGTGCGACCAGTGTTCTTTAGATGTGATGTTGGTTTTGCCCCTTCATCGTAACATGCTCCGGGTGACCGAGACCTCGTGAAACATACCAAGTTCTGCCTCCTCTACCAAAGTATTTATAATATACAAACAGTTGACTTTCACGCATTTTGCCTGCACCGTCAACGATAGACACCGTACCCAGCTTGTAATTATGACTTAGTAGTGGCAAATGAATTTAAATAACATGTAATGAGAAAAACGTGGTCAATGCCATCTTCAACTAAGCCTGTAAAGCGCACCATATTCCCTGCTTACAAAGTTTAACAAAAAATTACAAAATTAAGCTCTGCGCACTAACCTTTATGGAGTTTCGGTGCGAGAGAGCCACAAGAATACATTACTTGATCAGTGTGTCGAGAATCATGGGGATCCACGGTGACTCGCCTAAGACCAGGCGAAGAGCCAGGTCCGATTCCATCAAGACGCTCCGAAGCAGCACCATGCGATTCGGCCGGCTGTTCTGAAACCTTTTCGAGACTGGTTGAGACAAAATCAAGGTACCTCTACAAACGATTAGTAAAAGAAACGTACATGATTAAGTCAAATTCGGCTAATTCCTGATTCTTCATTATTATTATAGACATAGTAAACTGAACTGGTATTTGGTTCGCACAAGCAACAAAGATATCGATAAAAATCAGTGTGCCAAAGCGACTTATAGCGACGTTGAGAGTTCTTTTGGACAAAGGCAAACCAACTTGGGGACTTAAGGGCGAATGATAGACAGAACGGCATTCGCCGATCAAAAAATATTATCGCATAAATAGACTTAAGTTTAGAAATAGCTTAAATTGTGGAATAGGAGCAAGAGTTGGGAAAACATTTTATCGAGCAATTCATCTAGACTGTCAAGCTTTTGATTCCGCTAAGAAAGAAGAACCGAGGATATTCTTAAAGTCAAAGGAAGTGGAGGTAATTAATGAGTGACTCCAAAATCCAGCTTCTTTTCAAACACGTGAATTTCCATGGTGACATCGGATATGTAATATTCTTCAGGATGAATAACAAAATATTAGTGGCGTTTTAGGAAACACAGTAAGGATACCAATTTTTATTTTGGGCACTAGACCTGTCTAAGGAGTTGGTTTGCCGCTTTCGACTCTACATCGGCGTCAGATTCTTCGTCTTCTTTCAGTGTGGATGAAATTATCTGCGCGATAGCCTGAGCTGCCCCGAGGCGGACTGAAGGAATACTGTCGGACAAATTATGAAGAAAGTGAATCATAAAAAGATCAGCATGTCCCTCCAGGTCGAGTAATGTTCTGACATCACGAACAAAAGCAGCCACAAGATTTCCAGAAGCCACACAAGCTGCATCCCGCACAGGCCAGCTGTCATCTCCGAAGCAGACGATTAGGGCCTCAAGCAAGCAAGAGATATGTGGGCGCAGTAATTCACGATTTAGCTTGCATCCCGCTTCTGCTATTGAAGCACAGGCAGCTTCACGAACCTGTTGTAGAATTTTATTTAAAAAATGAGTTACATGATGGTAGCAATATTAGCCTATTGCAAACATATTTAGCTTAAGGAAGAATCAATGTATGATTAAGTTAATAAATAATAAGGTTTATAATTAATTAATAATTACGGCATGGTTGTCGGCATCCGATTGCAATATGTAGAAATTGAGTGCTTGCTCGAGACAAGATTCTAGGAGCTGCTTGCCTTTGCCATTTGTTACCAATTTCCACGTCTCCTGGCTATAGAGGCGCACGCCTTCGGCAATGTAGTATCGATTTAAGCAAATCGGAGGCAACAAAATTGGATAGACATCGGTAAAACTGAATCCAGATGGAGGAGGAACTGAAAAAAACATCCGTGCGGCCCTAGACGCTGCCATTCTGACCTAGTAAAAAATAGATATCAAAATGTGGTATGCAAACTGTGGCGGGGTAGCAATTTTACGAAAGTTACGAGGACTTTAAAGATAAACGATTTGTATAAGAACAAAATAGTGGAAGATCAAAGCAATACTCACTTGACTCCAGTTATCTGAAAGGCCAGCTGAAATTTGTTTAGATATTCTTATAAAATCCGATTCGCCTTTCGAAACGCAGTTCTTATTTGAACCATGATAACCTAGGTTCTCTGTGTGTATTTGCAGGAGATCGTAACCAGTCTCTCTTACGAAACGATTGGTATGAGCGACTGCCTTGAAAATAATATCCAATAACTCGGGATCTTGAATTTGTTTAAACCTTTCTGGACCAAGACCTGCGATCAATGATTGTAGGCATTTCATCCAGGTCTCCAAATGCTTCCAGCCCGCGGTGTCATGAAGAATGGAAATTTTTTCTTTTATTTCTTTCGGCAAATCGGAGGGAGGCCCTATTTGGCATTCTGAACTTCTTTCCAGGTTCTCACTGATCCCTTTCTTGACCGAGGGGAGGAAATACCTGAATAGATGCTCACCAGTTTTGGAGCACATAATTCCCATCAGATCTCCAGCAGCAATTCTAACACGGAACTCGGGGTTCCTGTGACATTCAATAACCCGTGACTTAAGTTTTTCAAAATAATCAATTTCACTGAGTGCAACCGGTGTCAATCGCTGGCAAATTATTCGTCCAACGGTTAATCCACCAAATATCTGTAAAAAAATAACCCCAAAGTAAATTATACATGTTCCCACGATTCGCCAGAATCCAGCTTTCCAATAGACCATTTGAACAAATTGATGGATTCGTCATCAAAAATTTCGGAACACTCGATGTAATGCTCGCCCTTTTCGCGATCCAATTTCGTGGAGGCGCATATCAACTCGGCTTTTTGCAATAAGGTGGACGCCTATGAATAGAATGAGGAGTATATAACCTCACCATTCGACGCTGCGCCGCGGGTGACGGATATGCTGCAGCATGAAAGGAGTGGGCGTTGGCTAAAACAAATGAAAAATGTAATATTTGTATGAATTTCAAAATATTTCAATGCTGATATTCTGATATCATGACGTTAATTTAGACCAAAAATATTCTCGAAGGTTCTTATATGAATCCGCTAATCACATAAAGAAGTTGATTTATATTGATTTTGTAAAAATAACTCTTGTGTTTCTAATCTAGTCAATTTCATCAACATTTATGCTTAGACTACATAGCTTTCACATATATATTTAGGTTATGTACTTGGAAATGCTCTATAAAACGATCTTATACTGAAGGGTCTATCAGACTACTTCGAAACCTCAATAGTGGTATTAGTAACATAATCATCAAAATGGGATATCCTTATCTGATAGTTTAAACTCCTGCTTTTCTAGCTAAATTTATTTTTATCCAAGAAACTTCCTCTTAACTGGCTTCTTCATTCGGGCTAAATATGCATGTATATGATCCTCAAATTATTGTCAGCGATTTACTAGAAGAATAATTGTTCATCCTTATGAGTCTATTAATTTCACAAATTAATGCAAGTGCTATAAACCACAATACCTCGTTAACTCTACATAAAATATTCCTTTAGAATAGTAATTTGAAATTTTTCGGCTTTCCCAAGAACATTATAGAAAGCGCATCTGTTTGCTCGTCCTATAATACGCATTCTATGTGAATACGTTACATAAAACCTGTATTTTAGGAAAATCGCTTCCAAAGGTTGGTATTATTTACGAAATACTCGGCGCTATCCACAATGCTTATCAGAGCAATCAATGCTAGAGATGTACTCAGATATATGCTTACATTTCCCAAACTAGTAAAAAAGCAAATACCTATCTTCTAATGACGACTCTTGGACACACATTTTAAACACTATTCTAATTGCATAACCTCGCAAACTTTAACGGTTACATCTCAATTTCAACCTAAAAGTTGTCATGACAATTTTTAATGGATGCTCTTTAATAACTTATGTACATAAACTAGTGCTGATTTAGAATACTCGAATGCAATCCCAATACGCATTGAAAAATAGGAATTAACCCTGTGTAAGTAAGGTGCAAGACATACCCACTCCTTAATAGCCACAGGATTGACCGATTCAACAGTAGCCAAGCTAGATCGTCCGTTGTTTACCCCTATCTAAAA